TCGACTTGGCTAACTGCTTAAGAATGTATTACTCGCATCACGAAATTGACGAAAAAAATTACAAATTAATCTATATTGCATTTTTAAGAGTGACACATATAATTTGACATTAATTTAGAGTTTGGATCAAAGGTTATTCCATTTTGAAGAGAAAGTCCGCCAAACATGAAGATACCAAATGACGTATTAATGACGTATTATAGAAACGTCATTATTGCGTCATTTTACGTTATCCTGTTATTTGGTAATATTTTTACACATGTTATTATAGGAACACATGTTACTATCTTCAGCAAAGAAAAAGATAATTAAAAAATAATGAGAAAAACTTTAATTCTTGTTTATATGTATTTGAAAGTATTCACACAGAATGCACGTAAAGGTTTATTGTGTAAGATATATATATATATATATATATATATATATATATATATATATATATATAAGTTTAAATCAGTCATAAATAATATACATTAAAGTAAATACGCTACAAAAATGTTGTAAAGTAAAAATATGTTGTTATACAACTGTATTGTCTATGTAGTATACGTTTTTACATGAAAGATTGGAATATTAACGTATTGACAGTAATTGTTTCGTACTCATAATAACATATTCAGCAACTGTTTCAAAGACTATATATATGGACACATTCTTAATTATATCGTAGAGCTTTCCGTAGATTTTTTTCATTTACGATACTGCGAGTAGCGACGCGGCGCTATGAGTACACTTAATTTTACGTGTATATCGAATTAGCGAAAGTGTAAAATGGCCGAAATTATTGCACTGCCACAATTGCTTTTTATATAATTATTTGGCCGCCCGTATAGAGAGTCGCGCTATATATATATGTATATATAATTATCGATGCACAGTAGCATTCCTGCTGCCAGCGAGATGTTATCGTCGCAATATTGCTCGTGCTAAAATTTTTGCGATAATATCGAGCGGCGTGCAGAAAAGGGACTTCTTTACACACAGTTAACGTTGACAATTGGCGCGGCGTACGGGTGAATGTACCGACAGACAAGTAATTTTAGTCTACGTTTCAACGTGCGTCATCGGCGTTTCCGGAATTAATACTTGAACGTGACGAGACATCAAGCGGAAAACTTTCAGCGCGCAGTTCATGTCCCGTCAAGATGCTTGTCTCCATATTTTATTTCTCGCATCGCGCATCGCGACTTGACCTGTTCGTTTTGAGAGCTTTGTCCAGTCGCGTCTAACAGCAATCCAGCTCTAGGAGCTTGAAAACTTTACTCACACTTATACCGCAGCGCGTATGAAAAGAAATCGTCTATACGGTAATCGCGCGAGGTGTTTTTTCTTTTATTTCTGAACTAAAAATGCTTAACGGAAGGCGCGAAGACTTCATTCTTTTATTTCAGGATAAATGATCTCATCATAGCCTGAGGTTTATTATTATAATAAATGTTTCTAGCGGACATGAAAATATGAAACAGTTCTCATTGTTCATAGTTCATATATGAACTTATGTCATAAATTAAGCATTACTCTCGTATTGTTTCTCTAAAAAATATTGTTAGAGAAATTCCCTTACGTATCTTACCTTACGAAGATTTTTCTTTAAAAGCAAAAGGAAAATATTCTAAGAGCACAATATTCTTAAAGTTAGAGGAATTTCATCTTTTATTTATAGTTCAAGTAATGTTCGTAATATAAAAATTTCTTCTAGTATTCTGTTTCAAATAAATATATTCCCCTTGGGAAATAAAGAAAGGGGAAAATAGGATAGTATCTACTATACTGAGAAAAAATGTTAGATATTTGTAACTATAACCGTATGGAGGAATAATTACTATAAATTATGGTCGAAGAAATCATTCTTTTATGAAATTCTATTATAATGTTAGTGATAATAATCCTATATGTGCATTCTACTACTATTATTTTAGTATTAGAACTATCAATAAATATGGTTGAAGTAAAAAACAGCTATAATTTTAAGTTAAACAAACCATTTCTGTCTCTCAGTAGATTTCTGATTAATATTTCATTTAAAAAAGTACTATACTCTTTCGGTGAGAGTTCTCGCTTATAAATATGGGATTACAGAAATATGGGATTACAGGAAATAGCATCTTGTAACGTATTGTAATATAATGTATTTATATAATTATTATATACGTCATTAATATTTCACATAATTATCCAGATAGAGCTTTATGATCATCACGGAGTGAGATCATTGATGATGAATACTTTACAATTTTGTTAATTAAGCAAAAACTCTTGTAACTAGAGTTCTTTCATCAAATGTTAGAATGTTCTGCTTTTGGTTTTGGGAGAATTTTCTTGAGATTATATATAAAAGGATTCCGCTAAGAACAAGATTATATTTTTCAAGTGTACGTTTATATTCGATCTCTTGCCTTACACTGTACTCTCTTAAAATAAACCAATTGAAATGAAGAATGAATTTCTGATTGAATCAGCAAACGACTATTTCATTCGAAGATCAGTAAGTATTTATTGATTTTCACTGGAAATGCTCCGTCTTTACTTAACTGCTCCGTCTCATTTCTCTCTCTCTCTCTTTCTCTCTCTCTCTCTCACTGATTTTGATAAATGGAAATAATATTTCACTGTAAAATCTATAATATACGAATTCATTACACGCTATTCCAAATCCAATTCTCTGCGTTTGACGATTGAATTAACGGTTCCCATGCGCCTTGTGTGTAATGACACTACCCGTGTTCGCAAAATGAATCAATAATGGAAGCAGTCGCTGTTATTAACTAATACTGTCGGTGAGATTTTATTGATTGTAGTGCTATGCTTCTAACTGAATCATCAGTTATGAATATAGCACTTCAGTGAAGAATACACTGTTTGTATTATTTTAGAGAGACCAGACGACTTACTCCTATATGTGGCATTTAGACATTCCAAGAGAATCGAGCTTCTCTCGAAAGGAGACGCGTGATGAACACTGAAGGTCGAAAATTAATTGACAAGTTTTTAACAGGGTAATGAAAGTAACGAGTCGTGACGGTAGGCAGGTAGACATTGAGGGACGGTGTAAAATCACATGATAGACTGGCCGTTCCATTTTTGTTGGGAATGGCCGCATTAAACGTTACGGATGGCCGTACCGAAAGCGGTGAGCGATTTTTCTTCAAGTTAATGCGTCGGCAAGAGAAGCACTGCGCCAAGAGAATTATAGACTGCGTGCAATATCGTACCGGAGCGGGAACAATGCGCTCGCGCGCGAAGACATGCGGTAACAATAAACATAATAATATGGCGAAATTGCCGGTCTGATTATTGAGCTGCAAGATTGAGACGACAAAGACAACCGTCGTGTGACAGATTCGGCACGTTGCGGCGATTAAGATAGAAAGAAGTCAATTCCAAACATCATATAAAATATCGCAATTAATCGTATGATTCGCATCTAATCGTTGAATCGGATAAGTACGAAACAATTCGCTTGAAGAGGAAAAAATGTGAAATGTTTAAGAAATGCAGTTGTAGCTACGAGACAAAGTTATTTCTCAAGTAAAAGAGCGAATCCTTATTTCGCTGATGGCTATACTTTCTAATAAATCCGAGACGGTTGTGATGAGACAGATGAGAAATCGCGCGTTGATATATTCACATGAAGTGTCAATTATGTGGCTGTCGAGTAATGAGTTCCCGCGAGCCAAGAGAACGACGAAAATTTATACCGCGAAATTTTCGGAGAGATGAATGCGATCGAATTTAGAGTTAATGTCGCTTTAAAATGTAACATGCGTTAACGCGTGCGGTATACAGACGGAGTAAATGCTCGTCCGTGTTAAGAGAAATTGCACATTACGATCAAGTTTGCAATCAAGTTGCTTAAATTGTTCGGTGACAGGAACTCGAGAACAAAATATAGAATTTGCAAATGTTCGTTTGCGAAACTGATACTTTTTAATATTGCGATTAATGTAGCGTTGCACTTGAATTATCGACTAATATGTTACTTATTTTGTAAGTCAAAGAAGAATACGTTCGTCCTACTCACTCAAATAATGCAGAAGTTAGCAAAGTAATATGAAATATTGAATGCAAGACATTAAATTATAATTCATACGGCATGTATCAGCAAAAAAAGAAAATTCGGAAAATGTTTTATATGCGGAAAAAAAGATTGGTTGAATTAGTGTGACAATGAACGAACCAAACGCGTTGTGGTTGAAGAAAACAAAATTTTTGGTTAATATGAACCAAATTCGGTTAATATGAACCAAATTCGTTCATTGTCACGTGAATTCAGCCGATCTCTTTTCTCTGTGTAATTCATGTAACAGTGAGAATGTAACGCTTCCTATGCGCTCTGTCGACGTCAATTAATATTTATTGATAAAACGCGTCTAATTAAAACGCTCATAAAGTTTACGTAACTTTTTAAATTGAATAATTAATTGTAAGAGAATTCCGTGAAAACCTCTAGAAGCGATAAGCCAAAAATGTTCCACGTTTATATGAATGAACCATCACGTGAATGATGTATGAGAATTTCAGAGTGTGGAATTAAGATAAATTGAAGTGTAGCCAAAATGTATAAGTTGTAACCAAGACAATATTTATTGAAAAGATGAAACGAACTTTCCGGAGCACCGAATATATTTTTGAAGTAAATGTCAAAGGGAGTAGTTTCAGCGTTAAGTTTGAATTTGATTGATATTCCTTTTCCTTTAAAGAATCCAATGCAAGGAAACTACCAAAGAATTACCATCATGTTTTTACTTTTAACAATTTAGTCTTACGACGAATGGCAACATATTTTCCGGTTCTAAGTCATGACTCATTATACTTGCACGTTTTACACTTGACAACTGATCCCTATTAAAATTGTAAGCGATTTTCCTTTGCGATCGTCATCGTCTTCATATCCTTGTCATCGATCGACCACTACTAAACTCGCACTTTCACAATCAGAAGAGTCTCTTGGACGATATTACAGATTGATCAACAAGCTTGAAGATCACGAAGGGACTCACCATGCTGATGCAATTTCCCACCACCGACGGCTTGCTGCTGCGGATGCCTATGATGTTGTTGCTGCTGCTGCTGCTGCTGCTGCTGTTGTTGTTGCTGCTGCTGCTGTTGCTGCTGCTGTTGCATCTGTTGCTGACGTGAATCCCGCGCCATGATCGCGGCGATGCTAAAATCGGTCGCGCACTGCCTGTTCGAATTGCAATTGTTGTTGAGATTGTTGAGAAGGCTACTGTTCGGCGACGGACTCGAGCTTTCGTCGCCGTCATCACCGGCGCATCCGGACAGCCCGGTGGGAACCGCGGGGGTGGCGGTGCTTTCGCCCTGCATCTTCCTGCCCAGATAGAGGTGTCGGGATTCCTCGTCGTCCTCCTCGCTGCCGGCTCCTCCGCCGCCACCGCCACCGCCGCCGCCTCCGCCACCGCCGCCGCCTCCGCCACTGCCGCCGAACGAGGTCAGTGTCAGTCCGTTTCTCTTCCTACCGGCGAGACCTCGCGACTCCAGCAACATCACCTCGCGCGCTGCTTCCTGGGCCACGTGGGGTCTACCGATGAACTAAACTAGTTCAAGCGTCTCTGATCCTTGACGTTGCGATTACGCCACGTTATTTTTTACGAGTATTGTGAGCCGCGATGATGCCAACGATGATAACGGCGACGGTGCGGATTTCTGTCCTCAATACGCCGATACCGGTGCAGCGGTGTCAGCATTCTCTTCAGCGCTAGCTCCAACTTATAATGGCCCACATCACACGCGCGCAGTAACCTTCACGTGCGAGTGAAGCCGAACGGTGCGAACGGGAACCGTACGCGAACGCGAACGAATTCAATTGCGCGGCGCTTGTCGCTCGAGTGATCGTACTCGATCGTGACCGGCGCGTTAATTGCACGATCAATAAAGCGCACGGCCAGGAAGGAACCGAAAGGAAAGAACGTCCTGGTCTCAAAATCGTTCTCCAGACACACACTGAAACGTTGTTGAACGGTTGGCCAGTGACACTTGCTGGCCGAGATACCGGCAACGATTTGGGCAGAACTGAAAACGTCAGGTACCGTACACCTCCTGAATTACGCGAGATTCGAAAGGGCGAGTAATGTCGCCGCGGGAAAAACACGATCGCATCTATGTGACGCGCGCGCGCGCACACACGAAAAGCAGAGAGTATCGCTCGCTTTGATGTATCGTTTATACTCCGACACCGCGCGAGTGAAACGTGGCGCGGACAGAGTGAGGCAGGGAACGACAGACCGACCGGTTGCCCGACAGACTGACCCGCGCCACCGCCGGTCGCCTGTTCGTTTCGGCCCCCACCCGCCACGCGATCGGGCTCAGGCTCGGGTCGACGAGCCAAAGGGACGGTAAGACCTATAAGCTGAAGCGAGATGAATGGATACTCGACTGAGTGGCAGCGGGTGTCGATGGGCGGCTCCAGGAACAACACGCTCCGCCTCTGGGTTCGGTTCCTGACTCCGCCTGCAGCTTTCTCCCGCTCAAAGCCCAACTCGAGGCTCGCCCGAGCGTTATTACCGCGCCGTTCTTTCTCTTACGTACATTCCCTCTATTATCTCTTTCTCTCTTTCGCGCTTATGTCCGACTAAAACTGCCAACCGGGAGCCGACGATACATACAAACATACATACCCTAGCGCACGTCCACAGGAGGGGGATCCGGTCAGCAACGGTGGTGGTGGTGCCGATGCTGGTGCTGATGGTGTTGGTGGTGGTAGTCGTCGTCACCGCCGTCGTCCTCGTCGTCGTCTTCGTCATCATCGTCGTCGTCGTCATCGTAGTTGCCGCTGCTCCGGCCAGGTCGTCTCTCCTCGTTGCACATTGCTTTTTTCCATGCCGTCTGCTTTCTCCCTCTCTGTCTTTCTCCTTCCCTTAAGATCGTCCTTGTCCTTTCCTCGCGTGCCTCCACCTTCGTTCTCCCCTCTTGATGTCCCTGCCAACCCAGGAAACCTGCCCCGCCCGATACGCTCGTGCGCTACACGTCCACACGTACAGACGAGAGGCAGGGTGGCGGCGCGGTATTATGGTTTCGTACGCGCCATCCAGCTACGGCAGCTGCCATTTTTTCTTACGAGAGGGGGGCAATTGCTGACAGGGGCCGCTTTCCTTCGCGGCAGTACGCCGCGACTCTCTTCTTCTTTTTTTTTGCTAGCCCCTCTGTTTCCTCTCTTCTTTTCTCTCTCTTTGTCTCTCCCGCCCCTTTCCCCCTTCTTGCTTTGTCTGCGTTTTCTCTTTTCGTCTTCCGCCACCCTCTCCAGCACAATTTATTGTTTTACTAGCGAAGCTTTAAACACGGCCGAGCGGCGACGGCGGTGGCGGCGGCGGCATCAGCGTCAGCGTCAGCTTCAGCGTCAGCCGCGGGTAACGCAGGTGGGTGGTTAGCTCGTTGCTGGCTGGCTGGCCGGACAGTAGATAGGGTGGGTAGTGGTGATAGTGGTGGTAGTAGCGGTGGTAGTGGTAGTGGTGATGGCAGTGGTGGTGGTGGTGGCGGCGGCGGCGGTGGTGGCGATGGTGGTGGTGGTGGTGGCGGTGGTGGTGGTGGTAGTGGTGGTAGTGGTGGTAGTAGTGGAGGAGAAGGAGGAGGAGGTGAAGGAGGAGGAGGAGAAGGTGGTTGCTCAGGCGGCACGGGTCGGCTCGACTGGGTTCGGCCGTCGCCAAGTGCGGGCGTGGGAGCATATCGTCGTGCACTCGCCGGGAAATCCCGTCAGCGTCTACTATCAACGTACCGCGGATACGCCACACTTGGCCGATCGCGCCCTTATTATTCTCAATCCTACGTTCCCGCCGTGTCCTTCTTTCCTTTTCGCCTCCCAAGTCGCTCGTTTCATCTAATCGACATCATCTGACGAGATTTGCGAATGTTCGTGGAGACGCGTCGCGCTTCGTCGATTTTATGACGAATAATGCAGAGAGTTTTATTGATTTTTTCGAATGCAGTTTCTATTTGCTTTCTTCGTAACGCTTATACATGTGCTTTCTTCTGTGTGTATTGTATATTTGCATTTACAATGCTCCAGTCGGAAAATGAACTGAAATGAATCCAAACATTCCATAGTTTTTCCTGTTTCCTTTTTTCGTAATTTTTCTTCAGATTTGCTTTTCAGCCTTTCACGCATTTAATGATTAATCATTGTGAATTTTAAAGAAACAAAATATATAATGTCTATAGAATTAGGTATTCGAATGCATATAAAACTTATTAAAATGCATAAAAGTCACCTACTATTGTGCAAACTCTGTTATAATAATTATTAAAATATAAATGTAAGAAAGAATTAGTTATATATTAATTATATATTAGTTAATTAATATATATATACGATGCGGTAGGACGAGTTCTGGAAGATATTCTGAAGAGATATATCTTCGCCTTGTTTCTTAACCTGCTGGCAATAGCAAATATAGCATGCGGCTCAAGGATCATGCATGTAACGTAGGATTGCATCACTCGCTGCTTGTAATATTACTTTCGCTGTCATTCTATTTCCACTGTTGCTAGGAAACATTCAACAAGCTCAAGATATACATCTTCAAGCTCTTTATGAAGCTTTTTTCTATCGCATTGCATATACTCATTCGCCAATTTTCTTTCATTAATATCCCATTAATTATTGTCGTAGTTCACAAAATAGTAAAGGATTATTCAGTTTAACCTACACACGAATGTATCCGATAGCTTGTATGATGTACGAAAAACGAGAATCTAGATTAAGGTTCTGCGCGTAGTTGCATAATAATTCTCTTATTTATAATATTATTATTATATGTATTTTTTTCACAGAGGAAAAAGTGAAGAAATTCGAAATGTTGACCGAGATGTTTGGTTAATCTTTCGGGACGTTCGATGCTCTATTGTATATGTGTCCGCGAATGTCCCTCAAAATCTTTTTTATCATCCTTCTTCTTGGCGATTTGAGGGATTATTATCGTCGTTATTGTCGTTTGTCGGAAAAGTACGCGTATTGCAATGCGCAACTATTTTTTCCGCTGGGCAATTCTCCGACAGAAGTATTACAGTCGAAATAGCGTTTCCTCTGGCGGAACGAGCGCCGAAGATGAATGGGGGTTAGAGTCCCGCATCGACGGCGTTTTTTCCTCCCGCCTGCACCGCGAGATATTATTTCGTCGAATATCTCTCGCGAGTCGTTTCGAACGCGGCATTTTGCTGAAGATAAGTCTTGACTTTAACTGGCTCGGATACCCGTAAAAAAACCGCGACGTCGTTGAATCCATCGCGCGGAACAGCGCCGTTATTTCCGCCATGATTGGATTGTCAATTACAATCGGCTCCGCAATTTCGGAGACGTCTCCGGAGGAATCAATTTCACCGGGAGGCAAACGAAAACCCGAGTCGAAATTTTGATCCTATTTTCAACTTCAATATTTCATTTAACGCCTACTTGGATATCCTGAAACGTATATCACTCTTTTTGATTTTATTTAACTTACTAACTTTGTCGAGAGGTTTTCTTTTTTAAAATCTATAAATGGCATTTTGTGCATTTTCTGCTATTTAGAGGCGTTAAGTATGACTTTAGTTCCTATATGTGTGCAACATACACTGATCCCTTAGAATATAAGATACACTCGGGTATGATAGCCATACGGAAAAGATGGTCACAGCTATAATTTCTTCAATAATTGCTAAAAAACGTTTTAGCATCTAAGTATACATTTATAAACTGCTGTAAATGTCAATTATCTTGGAGAATGACTACAAAAGCGCACTATTTTAACAATTATTAGGGAAATTATAGCCTATGGTTATCTTTTCCGTATGGCTATGATAGGCCAAGATTACTCTACAGACATTAGAAAGTTCAGGTCGAAAGTAGAGCTAAAATTTTGACTTGAGAATAAACAAAATTTTGTTGGCTACAAAATAAAAAATTAACTTTTCCATAAAATCTATTTTTTTATTTTTTGTTTTTTCTTTTCTTGTTTTTCTTTTCTTATTCTATGTCTTTTTTATTTTTCCGCGCCGCATGAGATAGTTTCCCGAACGTCATGAACCTTCGAGTCGTTAATCGCGAGAATCGAAATGATCTCGCAGCCAGATCTAGTGGTCAGTCGCGATCGGCGGCGGCGCGAAAATGCGAAATCGCGTCCGGTGACCGCGCGAAATAATTAACGTCGCGTTAAAAAGCTGTATGATGCCGGTTAACGAAGAGAAGTAGCGCGCACGAAAATAAGAAGGTATTCGGGCGCGCTGTGGCGGAGGCATATTACTCCGGATATTATTATAATAAAGCAGGAAATTACCTCGTGTGATAAATGCGCGGGTAGCGATGCGGCCTCGTAAATTATATCATCAGCGGATTATCGTAATTACACAGCGCGCGGCGTATCGCGCGCGGGAGAAACGACGCGCAATGCCGCTGCGGGGGAGGAGAAGGAAGAGGAGGAAGAGAGGAGGAGGAGGAAGAGGAGGAAAAGAGGAGGAGGAGGAGGAGGAGGAGGAGGAGGAAAAGAAGGAGGAGGAGTAGCAGGAGGAGGATGCAGAGGTGGAGGGGAAGGAGCGAGCTAAAAATCTCGCGATTCGCGCGGCGCATTGTGTTGTTATTATTATCCCGCGGGTGGTAAACGTAATCGTTCGCGCACAAATTGCTAGCCGTGCGAAACAGTTAATCGAGGTGTGACGCGCGATCCGCCATGACACGGCGATGTATTTACGCGCGATCGGATATCGATCCTGCTTTTATCCCCGCGACCGGAAGCGCCTGACGCCCCCAGTTATCGTGTTATCGGGCCCCGACTTTCGGTGACGCCGGCGTGGCGCAGTTCGCGCGCGGTCGCGTCTGCGGCTTGATCAGGTTAATTCAATTAATCGATCCACCGCACATTGGGCGAGAACGCTAATTTAAGCGCGCGACAGGGGAAAGCGGGGAGATAGAAATTTAGAGAAATCTTTGGCTGTAAAGTGCGCAAAGTGTTTAAACGGTTCAAGGGAAGAAAATGGTGCACATAACCATAAATATTTCGTTGTGATCAGTATAGTTACATCATTCTGGTTATCTTTGTGTGATGGTAATGTGTGTATGGTTAATATGGCTCAGTTACTTTGGTACATCAATCATAAAGTAGCTGCGAGTAATTTGGTAATTTCAATCAGAAATCGATTGGGATAATATTTAGTATCGATACACTCTAAATGGAGCAATCAAATATCGCCAGTAACTCAACAATTGTTATGTATTTGTAATAATCACATAATTAATCGTGTTCTTTACGGAAACATTTT